CCCCAACCCAACAACAACAGTCAAACAGTTTTAGAATCAAACTTTCACACACAGAAAAATATGACAAACATGTCAATAGTTAGTATGGTACCTAAATAGATGCTCTGTAAGGGAAGCAAAATACAATACAAGAAAATGAAATACTGGTGTATATTATATCACATAAAATATCTGAAAGCAAACAAATGTTTCCAAAAACATTACGCCTCCATCTGTGAAACAAAAGTCTGTGCAGTACGGTAACAGTAAAATGATTCTTAACATTAATACTTCAGTGCCTAACCATTTGTAACATTAACACTTCTCTTGCATTTTACATCAGACCAGAATCTGTAACCGCCTCAAGTAGGATTCATAAGTGGTTCAATCCCCACTTCCCAGCTACACTTATCGGAGGGGACATTTGGTCGTTTTTAAGGACAAGCGGGCTAACCCAGCTTTTGGGGGTTTCCAGAAATCTTGACCTACGCCTACATCAAATGTGGGCATTGCCCTACCTATAGGAGAAGTTTGGTTTCATTGGTGTGTATCTGTGTTTGGTTATAGAGAAGTCTCCTTGTCTTTTAAAGAAACCGAATAAGGATCCAAATACTTTACTTTCGATTTTCTCAAAACCACATTTTTCTTTGTGCTTAAAAGCGACCATTCGAAGACAGAAAGTAGAGCACAGGTCTCAAACTCAAGGCCTGTGAGCCACATCCAGCCTGGTGAACAATTATATCCCGCCAGCAAGAGAATTTTAGGTAGTCAATCCAGGGAATCTTCATAACACAGAACCTTACTCCAAACAAAAACAAAATTTGTTCCCAGAAAAGATGCCAAGCAAACATTAGCTCTGAAGAGTTAGCATAAGAGCAATAAAAAATTATGCCTCGATTTCTTATCATTTTAAATTTTGTCTGTTTTTACACATAATATCATTTTTTTTTAAAAGGTGTAGTTTTCCCACTGCTCAATGAGACTTGTTGATCCAGTTCAGACCACAACCATAAGTGCAATTACAGTTTGGCTCCCTCTGCGATAGAATTTAGCACCCCTGAGGAAGGGGTTCATTATAGCTTCCTGAGTCATTGAGAAGTGTGTACAGAAGAAGGCCTAGTCACAGTGCAGACATACATGGAAAAACATATGCAGGTGGTGTTAATGAGTATTTACACGATTTTCAGCAAGTAATAGAAATAGATCAAACAAAAGTACTCATGTATAGACTTTTTAAAAAATTTTTAGTAAAAATTTTACGGAACTTGCAACACAATAAGGTCATATAAGTGCCGAAGATTAGAGGTGTTACAAGAGAGTAACAAACACAAAATAGAAAGAGGGGAGATAAGGACGATAGATGTTTGATAGGAAAGAAGAAGTATAGACTCTAGCTTAAATTGAGAATAGTATGACATAAAAGGAAATTGAGTTTCTTTAAGCTTTTGAGGGTAATTACTCTCTCATCACTACTGCTCCATGTCAGCAGTTACCCATTTGGAAGAAGCTGAGGTCCCATATTCCTTTAGTTATCAACAACTATTTTGTGGCAACACAAAGTGTTCATTACTTATGACTCAATAAGGCAAATTTTTTCAAACAAATCTGGGTTTGTGCTTATAAAAGCAAACTTCATCTATTTCTTCTCCTCGAAAGAAAAGAACAGCTTTGTAAAATTCAATCATTAGCACACACTATTTTGTATGACTTTTGACAGAAGATGGAAGTTATGGAAAATGCAATTGCTGCAAACTATAGTCGACAGTAATATCAGGGATACAAAAGGTAAGAACTTGGGACGGAAGGACTCAAAACTCGGATGCAAAAGTGGCTTTGGATTAGAGTACAATTGTGTCGTGATCAATTGGCACTGGCATCAAAGCCAGACTGACAACAAATCACACAAACACACACGTCCACCACTATTATCAGTCAGTCCAAGGCATGTTTTTCAATAACTTATTGTACTGAGCTAGAAGAGCAAAGGCTTGTGGTCCAGTTGCCTCCTGTTGCCGTGAAGTACTCTGTTCCCAGACACTCTGGTGTTCTCCGCTTTCCATGCTGGACCTCGTTCTTCACCTGAAACAAAAAGACAAATGTGTCATGACACTGTGGAATCAGCTGCTCGCCAATTTTAGGGGCATGTGGAGTTATTGGTTTCATCTGAAAGCTTAATAATTTGTCTAGCTTTCAACAACAAAAAAATCCCCATCTATCTTGAATAGAAGTTGAGATATGAAGGAGGCTACGGTCGCCAGGTTTCAGAGATAAAATTAGCAAGAAAATGGACGCCAAAGTTCTGTGACTTCCAAAGTTTAACTGTCCATGGAAACTGAAAATTTATATTCTTTGTTATAAAATCAACACTTTTTCAGTTTAAAAAAAGACACAGAAAATGGACCTAAAAGGTGTTGAGTCAAAAAACAAAAATGCGATAAAAATCGCCAAACGGGCAGAAAAATGCTGGTTTCAGCAGTTTTATCATTTGACAAGAGCCTAATTTCACTACGAACGATGCCTCAAATGACAGGATGTGGAGATGAGTCGTGGTTTAAGGAGTGTCGACAACGCTCAGCAACATTGTGCCAAGAAGTAAAGAAAGATTATTACACTTGACTGGCATCCCCACGCTGCCCTTGTGCATAAAAATAGTACTGAAAATGCGGCTTAATCAAAGAGAATTCAGCAGGCAGTTTCCCAGTTTTCACTTTAAGCGGACTTCACTGTATTTGTTCAATCACAGACACACAAGGGGGCTCTCGTGGTCTAGAAGTTTAAGGTGTTCGCCTCTCATTTAAAAGTTCCGGGTTCGAATTTGCGTAATGACGGAAATATTTTTTTCTCTAAAATGGTCTCCTTTCCTGCTCTCTAGCAATGTTCTGTCTCCACTTTCTGGCCTCTCACCTCCTTTGCCCCTTCCTCTGGGCTCCCGACTCTTTCTGCAGCCTTTCTACTGCTACTCCTCGGATCCTTTTTTCTGCTGTGTTTCAGCCACACCCCTGATCTTCTGGTAGGAAAGATCTACACCTAGCCTTCTTAGACAAGGGTGAAAAATCTCGGAGGTCACGTGTGCAAGTTGCACTCGTTGAAGATCCTTTGGTGGTCCAAAATCGATAAAAGTAGGCTTTGGCCGCCACCCGGGCAAAATTCGAAATTTCTTACCAACTGAAAATATTTAATGTGTCCCACGGGCTCATACGACCTTAAGCAGTTGCAAGCGCAGTAAAACACTTCCCAAAAATAACCCCAAATGACAGACAGTGCCGTCACTAGTACCATATCTCACCTGTGATGACATCATACTGTTGCCTGACCGGGTACTCCCGAGCCACGCCCGGACCCCTCAATGCCCCCAGCTTGTTGTGGATGCGGTTGTACTGGCTCCAGTAACTGGGAGGACCATTTTCCGGCTTGACAACCTCCCTCACCTTGGCACCCTCTGTTTGATTCACACGGTTGACTAGTGACATTAAGTGAAGCCGGTTGGCCTGAAAAAAACCCCCAGATGGTATGTTTTTATAAAAGTAATATTCAATGTGACTCTACAAGAAACAATATCAATTATACGTCACTAAAAAGCGATATAATGCAATCTGATTCTTTTAAAGCGGTAAATCAATAAAACAGATGAAATAAATAATACTGGATAAAAAAATAAATGAAACAATCAAAGGAATGAAACATGAGAACAAATAAATAAGCACACTAAAATGAATAAATCTTAAACACAGAAAAAGCTCACAGCTCAGCATAAGTAAGGAAATCCTGCGCCGCAACCACGAAAGAAACTTGTTAGCGTTCATCGGTATTTCTCGTTACCTCTTCCATTATTTCTTCCAAACCTTTAACTCAACAAAGAGAAATCCTACATTCATGATTCCTACATTTTTTTAGCTTCTGTAGGCAATTAATTTTGATTTGGTGTATGATATGACTCCATTCTTATTTACATACTAGGGGTATTACTTGGGTCATATCTACGAGTAAAAATTTCACCCCATAAAAATTGTCAGAAAAAGAGCTCAAAATCCCTTGTTAAAAAACTGAAACATGTAAACAGGAAATTAGTCTCACGGGGATGATTTCTTTTCTGTGGAAGGTGGCCATGTGCCGGTCATACCGACAAGAAACAAATTTCACCCACCAAAAATTGTCAGAAAATAATGAGCTCAAAATCCCTTGTTCAAAGAGGGAAACAAGTAAACAGCAAATGTGTCATGACATGGTGAATCAAGCGCTCATCAATTTTTGGACATGTGGCATTATTGGTATCATCTGCAAGCTTATTCATGTTCATTTGCCTTGCTTTCATTGAAAAAAATACCCATCAATCTTGAATAGAAGTCAAGACATTTGCCATTGAAGGAGGTGAGGTCGCCTGGTTTCAGTGGTGAAATTAGTGAGAAAATGGCTGCTAAAGTTTGGTGACTCCAATAGCTAAAGAGTCCTTGATAACAGAAAAATGAATTTTTTTTCTGTGCCTTTAATCAACGTTTTTCAGTAAAAATTCACATGGGAATGTGTTTTCACATGGACATAAAAGTCATGTTTTTACTTGGACTTGTAGCCAAAAAACAAAAATTCGATAAAAATTGCCAAACAGCGGAAAAATGCATGTTTCTCCGAATTGGTTATTTTGACGGGAGCCTGATTTCACCATGACGCCTCACAAATTACTCTTACGGGGATAATTTCTTTTCTGTGGAAGGTGGCCATGTGATCAGAGCGGAAGTGATGAGGCTCCTCCTGGCCCCCAAACTTGATCTGTGAGGTGTGCATGGAGGGGCAGAGGGGTGGGCGTCTCACCGGGTCTAGGTCGTCACTACCGCTGAAGTACTGAGTGAGAAAAAAAAAGATTGTTAAAAACACTCTTTTTACAAGGTCTTCTTCAGAAAATAAAGAAAAATTGAACAGTGTTCTGACAGTAACAACTTCCGTCGGATTTTTTTTCCTTTAACATAGGTTTTTAAACCCCCGCATCGGCATAATTTAGATCATATAGGAGGCGAGCTTCTGACCATGCTTCTCATGGCCGATCCCCAGCTGAGAGAGATACAAATACAACATCCCAGCAGAAAGACCAAAATACTAAATGAGAATTCGACCCACACGGGAATCAATCTTGAGTAACCTGCATGTTCGACCCACACGGGAATCAAACTTGGGTAACTTACACGCGACAGCAAAGCACCTTACTGCTACACCACATGACAAACACCAGCTCAGATGGTTGGAAAGCACTACAGGTAGGTCCTACTTGTCCTTCCCCTTTATTGTTGCTCCTGTCTGTCTTGCTTGCTTCTCTATACTATATACCAAATGACTATGACTGTTACAATGTCAAACAAACCAACAATAACATGATCTCCTTCAAAAGAATTGGATTGTATTTTAACACTTTCTCGATATATTGGTGGCAGGGCACTTATTCACTTGGAGATAGAACATGGTTGTCATGGGCTTTAGCAAGTCGGATCTCCCAATGAAAAGCCTTGACGGACAGCCATAGTATAGATCTAGCCTCATGTTTTCTTTTTTTTTACTTGGTGCTAAATTCGACTGTGATCCTTTGGTTTGATGCCCATCATCGCTTTTTCAGGACTCCTTTGTACATTTTGTTTCTTGCTACTGGGAACAATCAACATGCTTCTGTACAACCACGAAAGCGGAATAGAGAATCAATCTAAGCATCTATTATATATTTGGCAACTTGGAAACACATGTGTCACTTTTCTCTCAAGAATTATTGCTCTATTCCAGCAGAGTGTAAATATAGTAGACCAATGATATTCAGTTGATGTTAAAGCACCGATAATTCCTTTCATCGAAAGGGGGCCCAGCTAGTCTTATATATATAAGTATATATTATAATAACACTAGATATGTTTTTATGCATTGCTCTACCACTTGGTACAACACACACTTGGTGTGCTCAGTGCTCATTTAAGCCATATGGTTGTAGTCTGCTCTTTAGCCAGGATAGTTAAGCGATTGCTCAATACTTTTTTTGTAAGAGTTTCATGGCACTCGTAACTGCATGAGGTCATATGAGCGCGTGGAAAACATTAAACATTTTCAGTTGGTAGGAAATTTTGAATTTTGCCCGGGTGGAGGACGAAGCCTACTTTTATCGATTTTGGACCACTAAGGGATCTTTAACATGCGCAACTTGTACACGAGATCCCCGAAATTTTTCGCCCTTATCCGAAAAGGCTAGGGGTAGATCTTATCTACCATAATATGATCAGGGGCGTATCTGAAAGACAGCAGCAAAAAGGAGCAAAGGGGTAGCAGTAGAAAGGCTGCAGAAAGAGTCAGGTGGTCAGGTGCCCAGAATAGGGGGCAAAAGAGGTGAGGGGGTGGGGGCAGAAATCGAAGACGAAAGCAGATGACAGAACATTGTTAGAGAACAGGAAAGGATGTGAAAGGATTTTAGAGAAAAAAAATTTCCGTCACTGCCAGGATTCGAACCCGGGACCTATTGAATGAGAGGAAAACACTTTAACCTCTGGACCACAACAGCCCTCTGCTCAAGACTCATTTGTCTAATTCATAGTTATAGTGTGTTAGTAAGTGCTGATGTGTTTTGTTTTTACTGCAGTCCTTACGAGTATATAATTAATGCATGGTTGTGAAAGTTCTTTTTTTAAGTGGTTGAACTGGGTTTTTTTGCGTCAATGAAATATTTTATCTTGTGTGAATCGCTCAGTGATCATGTGATTGATGTAAAGCGCAATATAAATGCAATCTATTATTATTAGCGGTAGTATTTAACATTTTAACAACGACACCATCTAGAAGTGGCAACCACAGGATTTTGGTGGTTTACCTTTAGGAATTGATAGCGTAGGTGACAAACAAATATAGCTTCCAAAGCTGATCTTTCTGTGCAAAGAAAATGGGAAAGGAAGGGGGGGGGGGG